CCCACCCCAGCCGGGCGGGCACGGCCCCGGAGCGGCTGGGGAGCGCCGAGCCGGGCCCCGTGGACAGCACGGAGATGAAGATGAGAGTGGACTTCTTCCGCAAGCTGGGCTACACCTCGGAGGAGATCCGCGCCGTCCTCCAGAAGCTGGGCCTCGACGCGGACACCAACGCCGTCCTCGGGGAGCTGGTGAAGCACGGGGCGGCCGCGGCCGAGCGGGAGGCGAGCGATGCCCCGCAGGAGGGCAGGGAAGCCCCGCTGGTCCCTCGGGGGGGCCTTGCCAACAAGACCCCGCAGCTCGTGCCCGTGCTGGAGGAGAAGGAGAGCAGTAACCTGAGGCCTGTGGTCATTGACGGGAGCAACGTGGCCATGAGGTAGGCTTGGCGTCTCTCGAGGCGGGGGCAGCGCTCCCTCGGGCACGGGGTCTCCATCCAGCTGTGGGAAGGAGCTCGGGGCTCGGGCCATGGCAGCCTGGGCCCTCCCTTGCCTCCCGGCACCTTCCTACAGCTGCCTCTTCCAAGCAAGGCAGCACTCGGCAGTGGCCTGGGCGCCCCCTGAGACCTTTGGTGTCATTGGGGAGCCGAAATGGGCTCCATGGTGTGCAGCTTTGTTACCTAATGGTTTTATGCAAGCTCCAAAAGCAGGAAGTTGCTCAAGAAATAATTAGGGGGTTAATAAAGGGAGGCTGTAATCCTGAGCTGGCTTTCTTACTGAAGGCCTAGTGGCTTGAAGCACAAGTACTGTACCTCGCAGAGACGGGGAGGGGAGGGGAAGGGAAGGGAAGGGAAGGGAAGGGGCCGGTCATCTTCAGCAGCTCTGGGACGCCGGTGGAGCCAGCCTTTCTCCCAGCGGTGCTGCAACCAGAAGCCGGCCCCACGGGCCATCTGTCCAGGGCCTAGCACAGGCTGGGAGTGCAGGGCAGGGCATGCGAGTACCAACACAACAGCACGGGGAAGCCCATCTCCTGGGATGGCACAGACTGCTGTGGCCTGGTGACTCTGGCCCATGCTGATGCCCCAAGAGGGCTGGGAAGGGCGTCTGCCCGGGGGGGCTGGGGTAGGGCTCGTCCAAGTGACTTCTCTCTGGGTGGGGATGCTGCGTTTCCCCTTTCCTTCATGGGAGGGAAGGCACAGCCCTGTGGGACCAGCTGACCACGGGACTGCGGCAGGATGTGGGCGCTGCTTCCACCATGCCGCTTCCCAAGCCGCTTTCTCCGGTGGTCTTCGCCTCTCCGGCCTGGAGCCGCTGGGATGTGCACACGGGCCCTGCTGCAGGGATTTCGCCCAGGGCAGCAGAAAGCGCTTGACAATGAAGGCTTAGCTAGAGCGGTATCTGCCAGTCCTGGCTGGCCGGAAGGAGAACACGTCCCTCGCCAGGTCCTGCTGGGCCCGGACTGAGTGCGATCTGCTGCGCTTGCCCTTTCACCTGGGTTGGGAAGGGGCCGTGGGCCTTTCCAGTAGGGAAACCCCAGCGAAGTCGCACTTCCCCAGGCTTGGGTGGTCTGACCTCATTTTAAAACAGACCTAGAGGGACAGCTGACCTCGCTGCCAGAAAGTGGAGCAGACTCCTGCCCACGAGACCTCGAGCTGCAGCAGCACGCGCTGTCCGTGGAGCTCGGGGGGAGGCCTCTGCCCTGCGTGCTGCCCCGTCCCGTGAACAGAGAGCTGTAGCCAGCCTGGCTGCGGGCGGGTGAGACGTGGGTGCCCTCTTGGGGCATCAGCATGATGCCATGTGCCCAGTGTGTCCCTGCCAGACACGGATTCACCCACGTTGCTTGCTTCCCAGTGGAGACTCCAGAGTCTGGGACAGCTCCCTGGAAAGCTGATTTCGTCCCCATAAAGCTGTAGCTTTGTGGCTACTCCCCACACCCCTGGTCCACTGGCTGCCCTGACGTCGGAGCTGCTAGCCCTCCAGCAAGCCTCGCTCATAGAGGCAGCTCTGCCGCTTGCTTCCCATGTCAGAGCGGGCATGCATGGCAGCAGGAAGCCTCAGGGCAGGGGCTTGGCCAGCCCTTTCCCCCCCTCGCATTGCCACCTTTGCAGCCCCCGTGGCACCTCTCTTCCCTACCCGCTGCCTAACGCGGGGAGAGAGCCCTCTTGCAGGGTGTCCCCTCTCTCTCTCTCCCAGCTTGTGTCACAGGTTGCCTCTGGCTCAGGGGAGCTGTTAATGTGTTTACCCACATTTATGCCCTGTGTGTTTTATTAACAAACCCTCTCGTTACACGCCGCAATCACCCCGGGCCACTTGTTATGAGTAAACTTCAGAGCAGGCCCTTGCAGGGAAATCGTGCCTGGCTCCCCTCTGCTAAGCCCTTGATAAGCCTGTATCGGAGGGGACGGGGCAGCACGGACTGTGCAGCGCTGGGAGCCGGCAGCTGGGCTGCTTGTGTTGTCCTTCCCGTGACTGGTTTCACACTCTGCGTAGCTGCCATTTTAAAGGCATAAATAACCTTTCTCCCCAGTTCCTGCAAAGGTGCAGTAAAAACAGGGCGGCGGGAGCAAAGTTTAATGTTTGCAAAGCTGTCGGGTGCCTGCCTTTTTTTTTTTTGAAGCCCGTTCACCGCGAGGGGAATTCCGTTCTGAAACTTCCTGTATTAATAGTGTGCGGTCCCTGCTGATTCACTGGCACAGCATGCAGCAGCCTCCCTGACCTGCTCATGGCAACCGTATGCAAATCATGGTGGAAATTAGTTTCTACTTCCTTCTAAGGGAATTTTGCTTGGTAGTTACCAAATCCAATCGGCCCATTTCTCCTCTCGTTACAAGTTCGGGATTGCGAGCTGGGGCTTCAGAGGGCAGCGAGCCTCGGTCTCCTTTCGTCTTCCCGGGGCTGTGATGTTGGCACATGTCCGGGTGGATTGCAGCGTGCCTGTTTGGGGAAAATTCCCACTGGGTGTGTTCCTTCTGTACACGAATGGAGGTGACTCCTCGACGCTGAGCTTGGTGACATCATTTCGGTGTCAAACCTTTCTCAAGGAAGAAGTCTGACAGGCGCCTTGTAGACACAGGCCCTGGCAGAAATGTTCCATGAAGTCAGTCTTTCACATCGGGTTCGAGGTGGGAGGGAAGGAGATGCACTTTCTGGCAGTGTCACACTTCCCTCTTTATCTCGGGGCCCAGAAAGACTGCAGGCCTGCTCTTAAATCTGACTTTCCTACTGACTAAGGGAGCAGCTGTTGTAAAGGAGAGAGCACTGATTAGACTAGAGAATCCCGTTATGTTTTGCGGGGACGTGACGCTTCAGATACGTGCCCGTGGAGGACAGATGCAGCCGGCAGGCTCGATAATGTGGGAGACAGGGAGCATAGAGTGGTAGAAAGAATCGGCATTTCTTGACACCCTGGCAGGAAAAATGCTGCTTGTCGAGGTATTCCTTTGATTCCCATCATTGCAGCCGAGGGAGGTTTCGCTTGCGTTGTATCCTAATCCTCTATTTCAGGAGTTTTAGAAACTCGTTGTTCTTTCAAGGCTGGTTCTGGAAATGACCTGTGACGTGTGGGTGCCGTGCTCTTCAACCCCGCGTTACAGAAAATAGAAACGGCTGGGCTTTGTTGCGTGGAGGTGGGTGGGGGAGGAAAGGCTGAAGTCTTCACCTCGGAAGTGGCTGTTCGACATGCAAAGCAAGCTCTGGTTGCTTGTTGAACAGTCGGAGGGTGTCGCGGAGCTGGGCTGAAATGACTCGTGGGGCCCAAGCTGGTGTAAGCGCAGGGATGGTGTCAGCAGCCTCGGCCCTTGGAGCGTGCACAGACAGAGCAGGAGCACCGCAGAGCCACTCGCCCTCTGCGCTGGCATTGGGAGGATAATCCAGGTGCTTCGTTCCTCCGCTTCCCAAGCGCTCGGTGCTGTGAGTGTCCCGAGTCCCTCACTCTCGTTGCTGGCACTAGAAGCATCTCCCGGCCCCCGTGTCTGTCTTTCTGTCCTACGAGTGTCTGATGGTGAGCAGGGCTGGGAGGAAGGCCCTTGGCTGTAGTGCTTGTCACGCATTGGCCCTGGGTGTAAGAGGGTGTTCTCCGAAGTGGCCAAGTGATTTGGGAGCCAGCGTGCTAGGGAATGGGACACACGCAGGCAGGAGGGCAGGGTTCAGGGGTGGAAGGTGCAGAGGCTGGTCTGGGAGGATTGGGTCCACTGCAGAGCACCTGCTGCTGCCCGCTTGCTGCGGGTCCTGCTACCCAGGCAGGGATGGCAGTGCCCTTCAAAGGCCCCTCCGCCACGCTGGGGCCTCACCTCCTCCCTGTCATGCCTCTGACCTTATCTTTCCACCTCGCTCATGTGACTGAGGGGCATGGCTCAACCCTTAACCCTTGCTGACATCTTCCTCGTTTGGGCCAGGCACTGGGCTGACGACTCCTTGTACCCCTGCCCCGTTCCCCGCCTGCTCCATGCCCTGTGCCCGATGGAAGCCCCTGTCCTCTCTTGCTGCTGCTTCGTGCACCTGTCTCTGTGTCCATCTTCCAGGCTGCCCCCTGCACTGGAAACCTGTCCGTCTGCCTCCTTGGAGGCCTCTGTTCAAGCAGCTTCTCCTTGGGAGCTGCCTGCTGCATTAGGAGCTGAGGGATCGCTGTGCAGGAGCCAGGCCTCTGCTTGGCATTGGGACTTCAGCCCTGACCATTGCATAACACCGTCAGGTCACAGACCTCATTCGTGATGTGCCTTTGCCCTCGCTGTTCTGAGCTTCCGGGGTCATAAAAAAAAAAAGAGACAGGTTTGGCCTGAATAGGTGCTGGGGCTTTTCCACAGAAGTCGCTTCACTTTCATATTTAAAATCTCTGATAAGACTTACAGGAAACGCGCGCTGGCAACACAAACCTTTTGTGCCCTTGCACTCTACGCTCATAGAGCACGTCTCCCTCGCGGGCTGGCCCCAAGCACTTGAAAACGGGGAGTCTCTTATCTCGAGCGACCCGAGGCGGCTCCAGGGAGGAAT